GGCTTAATCTTAGTTAGCACAGAAATCTCCCGCTGGCTATCCAAGACATCAGGTCTTTAAGTATCCTTGTGTGCCGTGGCACGTACCTACCTATGCTACTTGCCCTGATGCCTACCGGGCATCCCACATAATCCAATCTAAGGGTCTGTTTTGCAATCGGACTCGTCTCATTCACTCTTTTCATGCAGGTGAACAACAACACAGCAAAACTGGCGATATGCGCCCACACAGTACTCAGAGATATGGCTTCCAGGTAAGAGTTCACTTCCTCTGGCTATGGCGACTCAGCGCTCAATAACACACTGTTCACACACACTGGACCACCCTGGATATCCCACACGCGACACTCCGAACACTCACACAACACTCACACTTCGTCCTAAGCTGCAGCTATGGCAGCGCTGGCTACCTCTATCCTATCACTATGGCTACCCTGTATCACTCTCGCCCACTTCTACTTCGGGCCAACTGCAGACCTCCTTGCACAAGTCGCTGAGGCAGCGCTTCCACATTGCTTCAGCAGGAATGAATGAATGGCTGTGCGCGGCCTCTTGATTTATGCTTCTGTGACTCGTTGGTCTGCCCTGTTACCCTGGCCCACGGTGTACACAGTCCCAGACGGTACTTGCTTGACTAGTGACTGACTGGACTGGGACTGCTGACTCTGCATGGTGGACTTCCACCACTTGCCCACTTGCCTGGACCTACAGGGGGCTGACTTCCGAAAGGCCACTTCCAGAAACATCTACTTGGCCTTTCGGTACTGTAGCAGCTACGACTCTGCCCTTTCAGGTAAGTAGCAGCTACGACTTTGACCCTTCGGAACGTCTACAGCTATGACCTCTGGACTAGCTAGACTCCTACCCTACAGCTCTACAGTTCGAGTCCCCTATACCCTGTAACCTTCGATGTCCTACCTACCACTGGCAGTCCTACAGGTCGCAGGTACAACTCTACGGGTTGACACAGGTACTGTACACAGGTAAGGTGGGGAACTAGGGATCGAGCCCTGGGATCTGCATCAGCTACTGCGAACTGGTGAATACCGTTTCAGTGTGTTTATTCTGTTGGTTAAGAAGAAGAAACCCTGCCCTGATGACCGGCCGGACGTCCAAGTTACCTCCCCTAAAAGTCTGTTTGTTTCTTATGGGAAGAAGAAGAAGAAGAAGAAACCTGAAAAAAAATTTCTAGTTTTTTTTATGTAAGTTGGCAAAGAAGAGGGACGAAGGAGACGAGAAAGAGAAAAAGACCGACCTCCTGAAAAATCCTTAGTTTATTATGCGAGTTGAAATTGGAGGAGACGAAGAAGAGAAGATGTTGAGTCAGAAAAAGAAATGAACAAATAAATAAAAGAAGAAACACGAGTACAGAAGCTGTCTGCAATGTTTGCAGTCATCCTGAAAAATCCTTAGTTTATTATGCGACACGTTGAAATTGAAGGAGACGAAGAAGAGAAGATGTTGAGTCAGAAAAAGAAATGAACAAATAAATAAAAGAAAAAGATACATGAGTACAGAAGCTGTCTGCAATGTTTGCAGTCATCTTAAGACCATTCTGCATTGTCTTTTTATTTCTCTTCGCAGTCTCTTTTTTTTGTTTTGTTTTTCCCTTGCTCAGGGGCCATGCTAATCTTCTCTGTATCGTTTCAATGCTAATGGACGCTGCAATGTTTTTTATTTCTCGCTTTGCCATCTTCGCTTCCAGGAATTATCCCCTTATTCCTTTTTTTTTGGTGTGTTGTACCCTTTTTTGTGGATAGACGATTGATGGAGGTTACTTCGATTCTGCAGAAAGAGCAGCCAAAATGTCCACAATTGTACATTTACAGTACATCTGATGCAGTCATACCACATACAAGAGTGGAGGCCTTCATGGAGATGCAAAAGCAGAATGGAGTCAGAGTTATGGGTCGTCGCTTGGAGGGATCCCCTCATGTGGACCATTTCCGCACCGCACCCCACATCTATACCAGCCAGCTGCAGAAATTTTTGCAGTGCTGTTTTGGCCCAGTTAAAGAAGGTGAGAAACAATCCGAAGAGTTGGCTACAGCCGGTCACCCCTGCTGATGCGATTGCTGATATTGGACACCGTCGCATGTGCGGCGGGGAGGGGGCGGGGCTAGGAAATCCCCCGCAGCTAGTCGATTACAGGGCCAAAGATGAATACAGTTGGGGATCAACTCTTGAAAATAGATGGACTGAGTAAGGATGTCATTAAATGTTCTTTTCATTGGTCTTGGTAGGTAGCTTCTTTTAGAATCAGCTCGACGTTGTTTCTGTGGAGAAATTTCTCTACCCACTGCTTTTGACAGCTGTTATTGATGTATGTTTCGGTTTACGGTTGGGGTAGGCGAATATGATAATGTCATTGGGAGCGGTTCAATCTGGGCTTCCGCGCTACGTATGCAGAGATCAAACGTATTTTTTCATCCTGACGAAGTACAGGTATGCATATGCAGGAGGATCTTGATGTTGATCCCGACGCGTAGTGCTTAGGAAAGACCACTAGGATTTGAAAAGGTCAGATTGAACGTCTGCTGCTGACAACACGCTACTGCTTTTCGAAAAGAAAAGAAAAAAATTGCACGCGCTACGCCATTGTAGGGTGCGTTTACCTTTTTTTCAGTGCAGCGCGCCTTTTCTTAATTGTGCCTGGCTGCGTGTGTTTTTGTAGAGTACGGCATCTGGTAGGGGCATGGGATCACAGCTGTCAAAAGACGGACCTTGCGAGTCTTGCGGATCCACGAGTGGCAAGCTGCAGAGGCTGGTGGACAGCGAAAGTAGAGAGAGATTTTGGTCACTTAGAAGCCACAAAAAAGAAGAAGATGTTTGTTTAGCTGTTTAGAAACACACGGGGCATTTCAAATTTTATTGCCGGGACTCGGAATGGACAGGAAGAGAGGTGTCCTGATCTATAGCATGGACAAGAAGCGGGAACGGGCTGTGAAGAGAAACCGTCCTTGGCTGCTGCAGTGGAGTCGGCGAGGAGAGATCCAACAGCAAACTGCCACCGTATTCTCTTTCACAGTTTATCGAAGATAAAGGTACTAATATATATCCGACATCGAATGACCGAGGCCCAATGTAAATTACCAAATGCATATCGAGGACCGCAGGGGAAGTGGACGAAGAGACCCTGTGAAATTCATACTGCCTTTTCCATCTAAATGTACAGGTTGTTGCTTTTTATAGACTGCAAAAGCTCTCGACTTGTCTATATTGAGAGAGTTAGCACTTTCAGTTCTCGAGATTCATTCAGGCCTTAATTCTTTTTAAAACGTCCAGATCGTATTACGTTGTTGTTCCATTCATGGCAAGCACACATGGATGCCTCTTGTGTATTCAGTCTCAGAGAGAGAGAGAGAGAGAGAGAGAGAGTAGTACGTTGTTCCTTTCATGGCAAGCACACTGTAGCGTATTCAGTGTGCTATAGATGGGGAGAGAGAGAGAGAGAGAGAGAGGTGAGCAAGTGATTGTAGCTGTCAAGGTGATGTTTTGTTAGTCCACGACAGGTTTTGAATTAGATAATTCATCATAATTGTCGATTTGAAACGTAGAGAGCTTTCCTGCGCTGGTGTTAAACGGACGAGCAGAGGGTGGAAACAGGTACAGTTTGAAATGAGTGGGAGAAAGTTTTGAACTGTTAGACCACTTAACTTTATTGCCAATGGGAAACATTTGTAGCATGTCCGGTTCTTGGTCGTGGCAGCATCCTACACACAAGCCACACTGCAAATCCGTTTTTTTTTTTTTTTTTTTTTTTTTTTTTTTTTCAACTGCCAGCAGTGCCAATCCTATATGTGAGGAAAACACAGAGTTATGGATGTCTTGCATGTGGTATGGGCCTCCCACATCAGAGTTCATTTCTGGGAGGCTGAGGGGTCACTCTGTTGTCGGCACAAGTGTATGCTCTTGTTTGCTAAGTTGAGCCTGTCATTTGAGGCGATTCCTTACAGTGCAAGGTTTCATTTTCAATGAGAGTGTCACAACGGGCGGTGACCTGGGGCTAGTTGATTGCGCACAGATGATTGAAAGGCAATCAGCGGAAGATAATCGTCGTGGTTCTTTACCGTGCAAGGTTTCATTTTCAAATGACAAAGCTTTCTTTTTCACTGACAGTTCTACAGCGGGCGTTGGCCTGGGGCTGGATGACTGTGCACAGATGGCCAAAAGGCAGCAGCCAGCATTAGATCATTTTCAATTTTGAATATAGCGTTCCTGGGCGGACGTTAAACTGGATGCGAAGAATAGAATGGCTGTAGTCAGGAGTGCTCTGGTAACTTACGCCAACAATCATGCGCCGGTCTTTTCTTTAAAAAAAAAAAAGAAAGAAGGGCGACGGCCTTGAGATATTATCATTGAGCTGACTGACCCCAGGCAATTCAGAAATATTTGGTTTTACTCATCAGTCAGGTTCCATCATCATCTGGATACGAACTCGGGTCTGTATTTCAACAGTTCATGGGGGTGTGTACCCACTGAGCTAGGCTCTTGGGTATGCGCCGGTCTTTTCTTTTTTCTAGCGCCGGTTTTTTCTTTTCTGGCACAGGTTGGTAGATAGAACATCTGTGGGAGGATTCTTGAGCCGGTCTTTTCTTTTTTCTTGCGCCGTTTTTTTTTTTTGTTTTGTTTTTTTTGTTTTTTTTTTTTNGTTTTTTTTTTTTGTTTTGTTTTTTTTGTTTTTTTTTTTTCTTCTTCTTCTTCTTCTTCTTCTCCTTCTTGGGCCGTACTTTTTTCTTTCCTGCAATCGAGGGATTATCCCTGGGGTGACATTGCGTTCCGTCGTCTTCTTCGTGGGCCGTACTTTTTTCTTGGGGTAGCAGTATCGTGCATGTAAATGCCATGTATGGCATTTCACATGGAAGGTGCACTAGCGATTCTCATTTGACCTGTAAGGAGCACTAGCAATGCTCATTTGACATATACGGTGGTGCACTTCTTTCATCTTCATGCAAGGAAAACAACACAGGGGAAGTAGTCTGGTGGAAAAGGTCTGATGCTTTATTCTGATAGCGTGCGCTTTGTAATTTATATGTGCCTCATGCCAACCCTTCATTTCTCGGAGGCTGCAAGCAGTTTCACTCTGTTGTTGGCACAGGTGTTCTTTTCTGCCTGTTTGAGGACGATACGTGAGTTGTGAGGCTTTATTTTTATTATAGGGCCAGGGGTGGCCGACTGTCCACCGATGGTGCCGATGGTGAAGTGCCGATGATACCAGTGTCTGCTCCGAGTGATTGGCACCATTGCATTGGTAGGCGCATGGAGGTGGGCATTGGGGTTAGTATTTAGTTCACCGAGCAACGTGATGTGAGGATCTTGCTGGCTATGTTGATGACGGTGACATGCTTCCTAAGCCGAGCTAGACTTCTGCACACTCGTGTGTGTGTGTGAGAGAAAGAGAGAGAGAGAGAGAGAGAGCATGCTAATCAGTACAATGATTGACGTCATCATTAGCATCGCTATTTTAAGTATCATTGCATTGCCTTACTGGTCCTTCGGAGTACAATCTTCTTTTTGTCTGTCTTTTTTATGCTCTTTTTGTTTTTCTGTGTATAGTGCTGTATTCTCTGTTTTTTTTTTCCTTTTTTTCTAGGTTACCTGATCGGACATCCGGGACCCCCCTGACCGTCCGGGGTTGTCCGCTTGGGCAACCAGTCGGACATCCTCCCCGGAAAGTCTGTCCGAGCCCGAACAAAAAAAAAAAAAAAAAAAAAAAGAAGAAGAAGAAGAAGAAGAAGAAGAAGAAGAAGAAGACTTCAACTCAAAAAAATCTGGAAAAAAAACTGGAAAAAAAACTATGTAATCATTGTAATGTAGAAAACGAAACTGAACAACTTTTACCTTGGGATGATATCGAAGTTGGTTGTTGAATTTAAAAAAAAAAAAAACTAAAAGACACCCCCAATTTTTTTCCCTTTTTTTGTGCTTTTAATTGCTAAAAATGGAGTTGTCCAGGCCCCCCCTGACTGTCCGCCCAGGATGTCCTGCCATCGGACAACTGGTAACATAGCTTTTTTTAAATATAGCTTTTTTAAAATATCTTTTTAATCAAATGAAGAAGGGGGTGCGAGTTGGGTATAAAACATGGCTACGATCCGGACGTCCGGACCGCCGTCGAGACGGTCCGGATTCGGTCCGGACTCCGGACGTCCGGTCCAGACGGTCCGGATCTGCCAAATTTCGAGAAAGAAGAAAAAAAAAAAAAGAACGGTCCAGGACCCTTTCCCATTGAGGAGCCAAGCCCCCAAAATTGTTTTGGGTTTTTTTTAGGCCCGTTTATGCTTTTTGGGGGGGTCCGGACATGCTCTCTCTCTGTAACAATTTATTAGACAACCCCAAGTTTWTTATTATGAATAATCCATTACCTTTTATTAGTTTTTTAACTTTTTTAAGTCTTTTTTTAAGCTTTTGATAGCTTGACTTTTAACTCAAGTTTGGTTAGGAATTCTGACATGACTCTGAGGCAAAAGTGGTTTGCATTGTTGTTCTGCATAACGTACTTTTTTTTCAGATTTTTTTTTTTTTTTTTAATGGTCCGGGCATTTCCGGACCTGTCCAGACATCTGGACGGTCTGGATCCCCCCATGTCCGGAGGTCTGGAAATGTCCGGAAACTACCGGACACGGGTCCGGTTCCATGTCCAGAAATGTCCGGGTCCGGGTCCGGCGCAGCCATGGTATAAAATGATGAATGTTATGTGTGATAGTTTGCGTGCATGCAGTGGACCCCTTTGCGTTTTTCTGGTGTTATTTTCCAACAACTTTGGGGGAGGCAATGTAGGCTTTTATGTCACCTTTCTGTCTTATGCTCTCAATTGAACACAGACTTAGGTCTTTGAGAAGAGGTAGTGCATTGGTTGGGCAAGGGTCCAAACTGCTCATTTGTCTTTGCATTGTTATCTTTGGCTGCATCCATAATTATTTTTAGTTGCTCGAAGGCAGGATATGAAGCGGGATGGTTGTGTTTGTCAATGGCTGCAAGAATTTAACATTGTGTGATTTGTGTGGCAGCTGTTCTGGGAACTGCACACATGCCACGGAAAGCTTTCTGCATCTCAGCTCAGAGGGATTGACCGTCTTATTTTGTAAATGCCCCTCCACAATTAATGTATATTTGGTGTAATGAAGATGAGTGAGGTGGAAGGGAATTTCGCTGTAACGTTTGCAACTTTGCATGTATCGCTCAATAAGAAAAAGTTTTTCGGCCGCGGGGTGCGTGCCTGGGCTGAACTGTGCGATTTTAGTCGTCGGATGTAGGCGGATTTTCATCTGGCGGCTGTTTTTTGCGTTTGGATGTCTGCCACACTCTGTATGGTCGCCACGTTGTGCTTTTCCTCTGATCACGGTTGGCCGTGCGATGAACGATTGTGAGGCGTTGGATGTAAAATCTGACGCATCTGACGCGCCGTGAAAAGATCTTGGGTGTGCGATGTGCCTCCGCTCATTGGTTTTCGTTTTGTTTTGTGCCTTCCGTTTCGTTTCGTTTCGTTGTTGTTCTTTTACTTCTCTTTTTGGGTTTTTTTGTTCTTTGTTCTTTTCTTTTCTTTTGTTGGTTTTTTTCTTTCGTTTTTCTTTTCGTTTTTGTGGTTTCGTTTCGAAGGCCAGATGAATCTGTACATCCGCAAACTTCTGAATAGCGCAGCCGAGTTCGAATCCGGAGGTCGAGTGAATGGCTTAGCCGCAAACTGTTCAAAGCAGAGGCATCGCCGCCGGGGGACAGAAAAAAGAAAACGTAGCGGGTCATCTGGATTTGAACTCCGTTCGGGGGGGGAAGGAGGGAAGGGGAAGGAAACCTATGCGATGCACCTGCCTACGTGACCTGCCTGCACTACCGGACAAAAAACAAAAAATGAAAGGGCAGGTATATTGGAGTGGCTTGGATATAGGAACATTCGCTGTGGCTTGACCTTCGGGCTATTAGGTGTTCTGCTATTAAACCACCAGTACTTGGCCCAGCTATCGCAGCCGAGCCTGGAAGTGCCCTGCGCGCCGTTTCCCGCCGAAACGCCAATTCGATTTTGGTTTTCGGAAAGGCTGGCGGCGCCAGCCTTCCAGGTCCGGTTGCCCGAAGCGCGAACTTCGTGTAGCGTTAACGCTAAGGCCCGCGGCCAATATATGGGCCAAGTACTGGTGGTTTAATAATTGACCCCCTTAAAAGGGAGGGGGTGCCCGCATTAAGATGAAAGAGAACGAAGGGGGGGGGGGGGGGGGGGGGGGGGGGGGGGGGGGGGGGGGGGGGGGGGAAGGCGTCGCGGTGGCCGGGGTACAGGTATCAATTGACCACATTAACAGGGAGGGCAAGTACCAGTAACGAACACGTAAGGCCCAAGAGTGGCCCGTCAAGATCCTGGTGCCTTGGAGGCAATAAAGTTGGCCAGGTGTCTTCAAGGACCGTCGATCAGGCGAGCCGATAGGCACCGTCGTTGATTTCATAGTTCATGCCATGCACGCACCCCGGGCTTGAACTATGAAATTCATACGACCCACACCTTCCTAGAGTTGTGCGCTGATGGGAATGCTACGTAATGGGACAGAAATAGAGTCGTCCGCTGATGGGAATGCTACGTAATGGGACAGAAACATAGTAATTACATATTGTGAAATGCATGGGAGCGTGACACTGTCAGGGAATCTTAGATTTTGGGAATCAGCGCAAGCTAAGGGAGCTGGGCATGCAGTCTGCGTGGTGCAGCGAAGATTCAGCGACAACATTGTACAATATCTACGCTGAATAATTAAAAAAAAAAAAAAAAAGGAAGGCGTCGGGGTATAAGTACAGCGATATTGGAAGAGGGGAGCATTTGCGCTCCTCGTGCGAAGGGGGGAATGGGGGAAGGGTGTTGGCTTTGTGGGGTCGGAGATGCGCGAGAAGCAGCATTTGTATACGACAGTATACGCATTGTGAATGGGTGTGGAAATATGGGTGTTCTTACGGGGGCCTTCGCATTGAAATACAATCTGTTGGTGGACGTTCCAGCAGAGGATTCGCCTGACGGGTCCGTACTCAAGTCAATTGGTTGTAAGGTTTATTTTTCCACATTAATCATTGTTGTTGATGTCAGATTACTGTCAGTGAGCGCAACGATATGTATGTGGGTATGTGAATGCACAATCGGGCGACGTTAATGGCCTTGGCATAGATGGGCATGGCTTACGACATCGGAATTGTGCTTCCGTTGGTTGGATGTTTTGGTGGCAATTGTTCAAATGCAGGTACGCTATTGACCACCTTTTTCTATACCCTTAACCTTAACCCATGGTTGTATTGATTTCAGCTTCCTCACATTCTTACCGTGGGTTCTTTATTGGGGTGTGATTAACATTCATCGTGTGCGTTGTCGGCAAGAGTCTGATTTTACGATTTGAGAGGGTGCTTCATTTTTTGCAATTCTATGCAAGCCCGATTTTATGCCCCCAATTTAACAATGGTTTCGCGCCTGTTTACATTCCCTCGAGGGTGGTGCATGTAGAACGTGCAGTTGAGTTTGTGCCTATGCCGTTGTTGCATGTTTCCACGGATAGTAAATGTGGCGAGGTCAGCGTATTTAAGACTGCGGCCGGCTGTTTTGTCATCGTCGGTCGACAGTGCACGTTTAGATCCACCTGTGGAGTTCCCGCCGCAAACCTACGCACTCTTTGATACGTAGAGCAGTTCAAGCATGGTTTGCATCAGCGTTCTTTAGCATTGTTAGTCTCGATTGGATCTTGCGGCACTTGCTTCACACCTTCCATAGCCGGCATAGCAGTTTGGAAAAACTTGCAAGCGTCTGTGTAAGCTTTCTAAGCCAGCGGTTAGATAGATAGGCGCTGTCCAAAGCCGAGGTAGTAATTTGGCACGAGTTGCATCATTCCGCTGGTCGTTCACGTGGGAAGAGACGAGTTTACCTCGCCCCTTGAAGTTCCGATCGTAATTGCTCGTTCACGTGGGCTGAGTACAAGGGCTACCCAGTGGGTGTTCAACTTCGTAAGCAAGGATCGGTTCCTCCTGCAGGTGCGAGATGCACTTCCGTACCAGCCACGATACTTGGCTAGCGCCATTTAAGTTTGTTCGTGCAAGTCCCAAAGTACGTGCTCTTTGATGAGCATCTCCTGTTCCACCCAGTGCTTGGTAGCGTCTGTGCTAGCTTTCTAAACGGCGGTTCGCTCGTCCATGAGATTCGAGAATCAGTTGGATAGAGGGCGAGTGCTCGTAGTGAAGAATGAAGTAAGTCCGGGTCAAGAAACCAATCTTTTTGGGTGTCGTTTGACTAGGTGTCTCGTCGGGCTGGCATATGCTTGTGGGTGTTTCCTTTAGCGCTTCGCTGATATGTCTATCATTAGCCATTTGTGGTCGATATCGGGCGTGTCTTCATGTGAAGGGCTTACGGTTTCCTGAATGCACGATCGTGGATGAATAATTTTAATACTTTGAAGACGATCACGTCGTCTCGTCTGTGCTTTGGTCTGGGAACGTTCGAAGGCTCCACTCCTGTTGTGATTCGGTCCAAGTAACCGGCGACATATTCAGGTCATGTGGTTTGAACGTCGAGAACTTGCAACCGTTATTGTGGCTCATATGTTGTGCGAATCCTCTGGTTCATTTTCGTCTTGCCACGGTTAGTGAAATCAAGGCATCCAAGTCTTCAAATTCTTCACTTGCAGGTATGATCTCAACTCCTTCTTCTTCTATTCCCGTCCTTGACTGGTTTGTTTGTTCTTTCATTGCCTTTATCCCTGAATGCCATTTTGAAAGGTTCTTCATCCGTTCCTGCTAACCGCTTCAGAGTTTGTGGCCCCTGATTGCCCGGTTTCTACTCTGAACTCCGTGCATTTCTGCTCGCTAATTGCTACCTCCGTCATTGGTGGTCGATGTGTTGAATTTCGCTTGGTTAAATAGCGTCTATCGTTGCTGTTTCATCGCGTTGTGATGCAAGCTTCGTTGCTTTATAGTTGTTTTTCCACTCGGAACTTTCATTCGTTTATGCTGAATGGTTAGTCCACTTAAGTTACTTATCGCCGATACTTGGTCAGCCTACACGCCCTACTGCATTCCCGTATACGGGATCGTTCATCGGTGTATGCAAAGCTGCGTTTCTTTTGTCGCTCGATGTTTGCTTCGTGGTCGCTCACCCTTCGGGTTGCTCGTCGGTTTAGGGTGGAGTCTTCATATATTGCTGCTCGCTGGTTAACCCATAATGATCGGCCATTGGTCGGTTTAGACTGGATGTAGGATCGGTTTCTTTTGGGTCATTAATGCAGTCGGCTTCCTAATTGACCTTTCGATACTCGGACTTCATGGCATTAGCCTCGGTTCGGTAGTGTGTATGCTTGCTGTTTTGAGGCGTTGTGATCCATGCTTCATTGCTTTATATTTTACTTTTTCACTACGAACTTCAGTTGCCTTATGCTCAATACTTCGGGGACTTATACTGTCTATTGTTTATTGTATGTTTTTTTCAGTAGGACCTGTGTTTGGTATATACATATGAAATTACTGCGCATCAAGCTATAAAGTCTCGATCATAAACTGATGAAGCATCGAGAGAAAATGCACGATCCACCGAGGGTTAACGTATGCAGCACCAAGCAAGGATTCTTGCTCACTCCTATATGCGCAAATGCTTCATACATCTTGCATTTCGGGTTGCTGCTCCATGTGTTTATGATCCCTAGACCTGATAGGTCTACATTAGTTCTTCGTAATTGGCCAATATCTTGTTCGTTAAAAATGCCCAATTTGCAAATGATAATATCATGTGTTCTTCACCGCTTTTTCTTGCATTTGTAAACATGTGATGGTTTTACTCACAGTATGAGGTTGCTTTACGATTACAGTGTTTATAGTAGGTCGTCTAGAAACCGACAACCTTGCTGCTTCATTGCCTTATGCACGTTTGCCATTTGTCTGCTCATTCTCATTATTTTATGTATGTTGTTGTTGTTGTTGTTGTTGTTGTTTGGTTCTTTAACAGGCTGTGCTCTATCCTATACCTCGCTGATTACCGCGCAGATTACGTATGCCTCGCTATTATGGTCATGATTAAACTTTTTAAGAATTTCTGCACATTCTTCTTGTCTTCACGTTCGTTGGTTTTGATATATCCATCTGCTCATTTGACTTCATGCTCTTTGTGACTTCCCTTGCTTTATCTACGGCTTCCCAATCACCAGTTCTCAATTTACCAGCGATGCTAGCCCATTCATACGCTTTTGAAGCCATTCATACGCTTTTGAAGCTCCGCATTGATCAGTTTCCAATCTACGACTTCCCAATCACCAGTTCTCGATTTACCAAAGTGTTGTTTACACAATGCTCTAGGCCACCGGGACAACCTTTTGACTGTATTTCGAATTTCATTGCTAATTCTGTACAATTCTTTCAACTCTTTTGTTCGGGAGTAACGGTCCATCCAACACTGGACGTTATGACTGCCCTCTCTATCGACAAGTTCAGCGAGCGCTCCCTTAGCTTGCGGGATGTTCCGTACTCACAATTTGTGCTCCCTGTGTTCCTTAACCCATCCATCAATCGCATCATTCGACCAACAATTGTACAACGACAGTCTTCTCGGGTCTTTGATTGCCTAGAACGATGGGACTATCCTCATGTACCATCGCGCCTGCCTGCAATTGTGGAACATAGCATGGGATTCCCTTTGCGCCCAGGTGCTTGCAGAGAAGACAACAAGTCTGTCATAGTGTGCAAGGACACGGCTTATGAAAAAACGTTTAGCTGTCGGCTTACATTCTCGTTCGGTCTGAGTGTCATGTATTAGTTAATGTAGCCCGCCAATATGGGTACGATAATTGCGCATATCTCCCACAGAAGAACACAGACCACATGATATGTCTCCTTATCCTATACACAGCATGTGCCCCTAATCTATCCTACCAATTTATCGCTTTGGTCTCGGATTCTTACGGTCTGCATGTCCATTACCCATTAAGAACCTGCTTCATCATCAAGCAATGCTTAGTCATCTCCAAAATGGTCTAATATCATTTTCTCCCGATCTCAGAACATTGCACTTTGCTGCACGTCTGTTGTGTGTTTCCTCGGTACTCCCTGATATACTGTCCATATTTATTTCTTCCCTTTTGCATGCAACTGACGTTGTTTTGTCGTTGCTTCCTTGTCTGGCTCGCACTGCACACCCCCTGGGAACTTCATTCAACTTTTGTCCATGACGTATCTAGCTAAATCCAGTGACAATGACATCTGGTCCTTCCGGCAGTTCGGTTCAAAATCCGTCAGTTCCGGGATGTGAATTATGTTGTTCCATATCCTTACGAACCTAAGCGGCCCTCCGATGACGAGATTTTGCAGGTCTGTGGTGAACGTTTGGGTGACAACTCAGGCCTCACATGGTCTTTCGATGAAATGCTTCAGTTGCTGTTTTGTAAACAGCAAGAGGTCAATGCTCTCAAAAGTGTATTGGACCAACTTCAAGCTGTGCATGAACAGTCCATAGAGAGCATGCTCAAAAAGCTTAATTTGGGTTCAGATCGCTTGCGTCAGTTGGCGGACCGCAGCAAGGACGAGCTGATTGAATTAGGCGGAAAAGTTTCGCCTGCAAACGTCGGAAGAGCCAAGAGGAAGCTGTTCGACAACCTCGATGGGAACCAAAAGTTCAGGAATGAATATATGTATGATCATGTGTATGTCCACCGTACTCGAAGTTTACTCGTCATGCAAGATATCTTCATGCAGCTCAAGGCACAAAGTAACACCGCCATGCAAGAGAACATGGTCCGCTGGAGAGAAAGGGCGGTCAGTCTTGACCTCCAGGTGAGAAAGTTATTGACTATTTCCGACAGTCGCGGAGACGCGGTGGCGCTTACACAACCGCTATTCAAAGCGCATATAGAGGACGTTATGCGTGAAATGTCCAAGGCCGATGCAATGAGTGCAATCCGGTGCTTGCAATGGCTCGCAGAGACATTCCTTAACAGAGCTATCATGGCAGAGGTGCAGGCAGCATTACATTTCTCCCTGACAAGGGCTCAGGAGGAGTTCACCATTGAATCTTTCTACCGCTTGCTTCTAAACGCTCACTCAGATCGCAAGCGGCTTGCGGATATGGTAGTTGCAGTGCAATCCGTGACCACAGATTTTAAGTTAACATTGCGGATGGCTGCAGATTTGGTGCACCTGAGATCATAGCTTGCATGCCACGTACTGAGGAATGCATCACAACAAGGGCAAAAAGGACATGCACACACTGATCATTGAGGTGCTACTGCTGCAAAAGTCACATGCAAAATTGCAGGCGGAGTACACATACTTACATGTGCTCCGTTGTTTTGAACTTCGCACCCAGTGTCCACGAGTGTGGCTACAAGATGCAGCAACCGTCTGACAACCAAGCAGCGAAACGGCTGCGGAAGGAGATTCTTTATTTTAGCGTTCCAACTGAGAGCCAGCGAGTGTGCTCTGCGACATCAATGGAAGCCAAGTTCCACAATAGGAGTGTCCGAAGCGAGTTCCCCGGCTATCGTAGCTCGATTGTGGCCACCGCACATCAACTCAGAGTCCTTGAATTGGAAAAACAGTCGTACCTAGAGGACATGTACGCAGAGTTTGTTGTCGTCAACCAGATCCAAGGCATGGACCAGTACGAGACGCTTGCACATATTCGCGAAGACGATGAGATGCCAGCTCTATTGTCAGTCCTCTATGAGGAGCAAGATGAGCGTTTCAACGACGATTTCATCTGAGGACAGTCGTTTTCCACAGGCAGTGTGCAATGTTTGTTTGAGGTCCGTGCATGTAGTTCAGAGGCGCAATAAGCATCGCGACGTAGCAATTGTAGCTGTATTTGTCATGTCACTCGCTCTGTGCAGTTCTATTCATGCCTAAGCGCATCTGTATATTATTCTATATTATGGCGGCCTCTGGCTTTGACAACCTTTCTTCCGACTTGCGGTACTACGTGGATTAACTAGGTCTTTTTCAGATGCGTGTCAATGTTGAGTTCAGGGTACATGGCAACATGCTTGTCCATAATCTCTTCCTTATCCTGTGCGAACCAAGGTCCTGCCTTTGCATGGCTTACATGCATTGTAGTTACATAAGTCACGTGGCTCACATGTATTGTAGTTACGTAATCAGCTGCTAGTCCTAGACACGTCAGTTTTGAGGTCATGTTGTTCCATGGCTCACATGTATTGCAGTTACCTAAGTAGTGTTAGGTCTACCTCATGCATATCCGACATTGTACTCACATTAGTGCTAGGTGTACCTCATGCGGATCCGGGTGACACTCGGTTCATTTTGCATATGTCGCATGTAGGAATCTTTCGAGTTCCGTGCAGCGCTGTGATAGTGTTCGAAAGAATGATCAAGCCATGCATGACAATCTATTACACGCTCTGTTCTGCAACTTATGTGTTTTTATGCCTACATTTCACACCTCCTCTTTATCCCCGACATTTATCTTCACTCGTCTTTTATTGTATGCAAGCCTGCCTGCTTTCGTGTTTGATGTTCTGTTATCGCTAATATTTACTTGATATTTTGATATTCATATGGGTACATATATGCATTTGCCAACCTGCCTTCCATTACGCGACTGACTCTCATTGGCCTCTCTTTCGGGGATGCAGTCCGTATTCTTGAATACTAATTTCGTCACTTCAGTTTTCAACATCTAAAGTTGTCGTGAGTTGTTAATCACCTATATCTTCAATACGAGGCCCACTTGTTCGGTTGTGGTCACCTCACAACTTGGTCGGTTCTAACTGTTGTGTATATCATCCCTACTCCTACCCTAAGTTTAGTAAATCCTTAATGTTCTTTTAAATTGCAAGAATTTTATTGTGTGCCGAATACCTTTCATAGATATCAAAGTATCTGCTCACACCGCTCCGATAAGAGATTACTGGGGTCCACTATAAAAGAACACTCATGCCCGCAACGACCGATTACGAAAACAATTGTCAAATTCTGATCTCTTGCGTGTCAACGTTTCAACCTGCCTACGAAATTTTATTTCACCTGCTCACATGATTGTTATTCTTGATGTGGATTACATGTGAAATGCATCTAATTGTGTTTATCTCCTCTTGCTGTTCTTGCTGATCGTGTGTCCATACTCCCCCTTTCATTAATTAATCTAACGCTACCATTTTTTACTGCCGCTCACACACAAAACCCACATGTGCCTTCAACCTTTTTCCACCACCTTGGCCGTCGGACATTTATTGCTTCTCTGGAATTTCGTCTTTTACGTTCACCCTCCATACACATTGTGCCAAATCATATCGTTTAAGACCGCACTGGCGGGTAAGCTAACACTTTTTCACCTCATCATCCTCGTTGTTTGATGTCCTGCTATAACAGACATTGAACCATCAACAGTTCTTAGAGCGCTAAAGACCAATGGATACAACCGATCCAGTGAATCAACACCCACCACCACGGCCTGACCCTTGGAGGGAGGCTCTAATATTGCACAAATCTTCCACTCACATTTCCCACGCTCCTCATCTCCTTCCCAACCTTCTGAGACCTCGTTGATCTTGCAATTATGTGCACAGTGCGTCAGCTGTTTGCCAGGCACCATGTCGTGGAAACGATCCCGTCCATGTCATCCAGGACGCAACTTCGTTGACACAACGGTACGGTCATAACCTGGATGTTGTGCCTCATTCGACTAATTCACAACAACACTTCCAGTCGTGCTCTACTTTGTCGTTATTCCCACGCTCGGTTGGATACACTACGTCCAATATTCCTACCGTTGATCAATCAGTGAACACAACCAACCTTCGCACGCACGCCTCAACATTAGCTTCGGATGCAGAACACCTCCGCCGATTTCAGGTTCTACCAACAACTAACCAGCAGCCAAACAACCAATTTCAAAACTTAAGTGTCATCAACACTGTCACGCCTTGGAAGAAAAGGCCGAAACGCAAGCGTTGCGAGATGCCAGTGAAAAAAACACCGCCACGAAATAATGCATGTCACACACTTCAATCACCCTCCTCGACTATCCTTTTCAACCTCCGATTCGTGTCCCGATGGATCCGACGAGTGACATGCACGCGTATGCTCTTCCTGTATGCCCCCAAATCGCAACATACGCCGAAATCACATTGAGCACAAACCCCCACTTCTCCCCTGAGTTCTGGTTATTACATTACCTTCTCAATGCACAAAATGATGACAAGACTTCGTCATCAAGGACATCGAACCTCCAGAACTACCTTTCATACGTGGAGCCAGTCGTTCCCTTCGAGCCAATCACCGCTGCTAAAAAATCTACCTTGTTCTCTTCGAGCGATCGTGACGTTGTTCCACACAACACACACCGAGGACACAAAACTGTTCTTAACGGATCTTCGTGTGATGGCAAAAGTGTTGCACCTACACATAATCTTCTTCACGTTGGAAGTAGGGTTGCGCCGTTCGACTCAATCACAATCCCACAAAAAGTCACACTCTCGTCTTCCAATTGTGTCTCCATCGTGCCAATGCATGCCGTTTTAGGACTCCATCGTCTTTCTAACCAGACCTCCTCTGATGAGTTTAGGGTCGCTATGTACAGACCAAGAGCCTCACCACTCAGCACTGTAAGAACCTCCGTAGAAGACCGCGCATTTGCCGCTGTCAGAACGCCCATGGTAGATTGCCGAACTACAACACATTCTGTTCCACTCAGCATAAGCAAACATCCTTCTTGTGAGCGAACAACATCGACTCCGTCAATATATGTTCGCAATGGTGTGGCAGCTATGTTAAAACAACCATCACGATACAGATCCTTTATCACACGCACTGTTCGACGAATGCAAATCTCCAACCAAGCACCACACAGACATCACCCTCGACAACGAACAAAAACACGCATCAGACGACCTTCGCGTTCTGCAGTATCACAACAACAAAGAAAGGAGTATGACAAAACAAGGAGCCGAGCCAAAACTGTAGCTAAACGCAATCAAATGTCTGGGAGCATATATAGTTTCCATAAACAACTGCGAGTTTTGCCAATCCATCATCGAAACACTGCACGACACTTCCCCGATGTCGACGCTCTATACAGATTCTTCGTTGGACGACCTCGGAGCAGTAATAGGTCCTCTACTATGTGTAAGCCAGTGCAAAATGAAAACACTCAATGTTCCTTACATCTATTGGCGTCAGCGGTCTTGCCGGTCCTCATCCATCACTCTCCTTCAGGAGTGCCTTCAGTATGTCCACATTCCTCTCCCCAGCTTCCTTCGCCTTCAACGGTTGGTGCTCTTTCATCATTACTCCAGCCTTGAGTGCTCCATGAATGTTATTCGAAACAACATTCACAACCTTATTTTTTCGCTCAACAAGTCGCTTTGCCTTCTCCAGTTGTTCCTTTTCGGGCAGGAGTCCATCCACCTACGATCCATCAGTTTGTTTTAGAGAACGGTCCACGGCCTTCCCATAATAGTGCACAAATCCGTTTGCCTTCTCCACCAGTACCACTTGCAGCAGTAGTCCAGGCATGTATATCCTATCAGTCTGATTCACAAGTGCCTCCAGCAGCTTCTCAGTCGATTTCTGAAGTGCGCCCGCCTTCTTTACCTGTTCCTCTTTCTCCACATCTCGAGATGAACGTCCGACACTCATCTTCTTTGGACGTCGCTGCAGCGCCTTTTCATCTCGGTCATCAACTGCCTTCGCCTTCTCCAACTCTTCCACTCTCCACTGTCCTGCCTTCCATGCCGTTTGCTGAATACCAATGTGGTATCAACATCCATTTGCCAATCTTTCGTGGCACAGGGACAATTCCCACATTCAACCTCGACGTTCGGACACCATGTCGCCATTGTGCTGCACAACTTTGGCCGCACGAGCATAAATGGAAGAGCATTTGCTGCAGGGAAGGAAAACGAAAATGCGAGCTTTGGCAAATGCCCCCACCTGAATCTGCACCACACTCCATACTTTCCCTATGGACAGAGGACTCTGGTGATGGCAGCTTTCTGCGAGCCCAAAGTCGTAAATTCAATAACGCATTGTCCCTCCTATCTTGCCATATGAAGAAAGCTCAACAAGGCTTGAGAGGCTATGAGGGACAATTGAAGATACAGGGCCTAGTGTACCATAGGCGTGGAGCGTTGCAGCCGAATGATGGTGAGGCCCCGCAATACCGCCCAAATGTACATTTATGACCCTGCTCATTCAGACAGAATCGTTGACATTAGGATGAACATGATGCATCTTCCTGATCGAACAAGTGTCCAACAACATGTTCGCATCAAGAACTTGCTTTCGCGCCTTCATGACCTGTTGCGCCAGTGCAATCCCTATGTCCTGCGCCTCTTGCACACGGGCTGGATTTGCAGCCACGGCGTACCGGAAGACATCGTTAGCGACCACGACACTCGATTTATGTCGACAATTTGGACTTTTCTCATGCAGGAGTCCGGCACCGAAATGAAATCGAGTTTGACTCGGCATCCACAAACGGACGGGCAAACGGAGCGGGCACATCAAACCGCTCAAGTGATGCTTCGTACGCTCATCCGCCCGGACCAAAAGGATTGGGTTGACCGTGGTATGGATTTAATTCAAATGTTTCTGTAACCTAAGACTCCAATAAATTAGGTCACCATCGACCTCCTGACGTATCACGACCTCCCAGATCTACAATGAGAAAACATTAAACTGGTCATTAACCCTCATGCTCGTCCACTAGGCGAGGACGAACAGCGCTACAACAAACCTGAAGGGTTGTTAGAACTCTACATACTAATTCCCTGAGAAGCTGCTGCCGAGTAAGGTTGAGGTCCGTTATCGACCAGAGCGCAATGAAA